AGTATTCTAAACTGTATAAAAAAAATTGAAATCAATTGTGAACATCCTTTCCTTATATAGGACGGTCTCTCCTGTTTCACCTAATAACAATGAAATATTCATTGGTTCAAATTAGTAAAGGTGTTTGAGCAACTTCCCTTAAATGGTAAATGGGTATTAGAGGTTTTAGAACTATTAGATAAACAAAACTTTGTGATACTTAGTCGAGTTAATGAAAGATTTTATTTTGAGATCTTCCCTTAAATGGTAAATGGTATTGACTATTAGAACACAAAAATAAACAAAACTTTGTGATACTTAGTCGAGTTAATGGTTAATTAATATAGGACAAAAATAAACAAAACTTTGTGATACTTAGTCGAGTTAATGAAGATTTTAGTATCTTCCCTTAAATATGGTAATAAATAAAAAATAAAAAACCTTATTTTTAATATGCGTATTTAAAATCAATGATTGGTTGATACCTGTTATAAATATAGAGAAAAAAAATCGGTGAAAAAAGAATTCAAAAATCCAAATAAATAATTAATAAAAACTAAAAACAAATCATGAATAATAATCATCATCTTGGTAACCAAATTAACCAAATTAACGGTTATGTCCATCCCTCTGATACTATTACTCCTAACGAAAGCTCAGTTAATCCTATGAACATTTCCAACCACAATTATTCCGTCGACAACAATAATAATATTGCTGGTTATAATTCAATCAATAATATGAACAACGCTCGTCAAAATCCCGCCAATCATGATTTGACTAGTCATTTGGTTATGATCAATAATAGTTTCGTTGGTCATGATACTCTCCATAACATTGTAGACAATTCAATCAATAATATGAACAACGCTCGTCAAAATCCAACCAGTAGCAATATCTCCAGCAATGATTTGACTAGCCATTTGGGTATTATCAATAATCATTTTGTTGGTCATAATACTCTTCGTAACACTGTTGACAATAATTTCTTTGGACAGAATTCAGCCAATGATAATAATAACAATTTGGACGCAACTAATAATCACAGAAGAGATCAGTTAATTTTTATAGCAATTCAATTCCAAAACATTGTGGATCAATTGTTATTGGATGACAACAGCAACAACTAATAGAATATCATTAATACAGCAATAGTGATATTAATGGCCAATTATTTATTTATTATTATATAATTCATATTCTTGATTTATTTATTTATAATTTATTTTGTAATTCTGTCCTTTCAAATAATAAACAAAACTTACTTATTATACTAAAAGGTCATAATTTAAATAATTTATCAACCATAAATCTCTTGGGAGTAAAGAATTTATAATGGATAAAAAGCAAGCCTAATTTTCAAGTAAAATCAACTATTTTTGAAAATAAATCTCTAGATATTATTGGAAAAAGTTAAATAGAAATGTATATTGAAAGAAATGCCAGATAAAAAATTAATATCATTAATAGCGCGTATAATTACAAATTATAACATATTTATTATAAATAATCTTTTTGTTTAATAATAATCAGTTATTGCGCTATTCGAAGCTTTTTGAGCTTTTTAATATGCATATAAATTCGCGATCATTGATGTTAGCAAAGTTCGTGTGAGATGTATTCTTATTTCAGCAACCTTACATCTTTACACTCCATGAAAGTTTTCACCATAAATTTGATTTGAAGAATATAGTAAATATTTTCACATGTATTAATATTTGGAATCCAAAGGAGAATTATTAATAGACACTGACTGATACATGACCAGTGATGGGTAAAATTTCCGATCATATTAATATGATAATTACCTAAAGCACGCTTTTTGTGAAATACAATATTGCAGCTTTCAAGTAGTGATGTTAGCCGGGTAGAAAAACCTTAGCCGGCTAAGAACTTGGACAAATTTTTTATCAAATGAATTACTAGACAGATAACATACCCTTTACGAATTCACTAAAAATCGGTTGATTTTATTATTATTTTTATTACCCAAGTCTATTTCTTTCCGATATTACTACTACCGTTATTGTTATTGTTATATCTCTTAATTCACCACCTTTAATGGTTCCTATTACTAGGATTTCTATCCGAATTATTTGTCTTATTCGTTATGAATTCGAGTATTCGAATTACATTGAAAGTTTATTTGTATAATTCGAATAAAATGAATAAAAAAATCAATTCGAATTCGGATTAAGATTGAGTTGTATTACGAATAGAAACTCTATCATTATTGCTTTTTTTATTATTATCTATTATCCTGCTACGAGTACTGTATTATTATTATTTTTTTTTGAGCAAAAATATGTTTTTTCTTTTGTCACTCCAAGTAATGCATATGGACCCATCTCAACAACTAAGTGTCTATGCCACTGAATTCTGCACTAAAATTCCAGACGTAAAATTCCAGACATCAAGAGAAAAATTTTTTTTATCATCTTAGCCAGCTCACATCAATACTTTCAAGTACCTCAAAAGGCTACCCACCAGGTTCTACCAAACAAAGTTGCTCTTTATATTACGAGAGCCCTACAAAATTCTTACGTAGAAAACACACAAAAATGTACGGGAAAACGGTAAGTTTTCCGTATGTCTTTGTTTTACCAAGCAGGACATCTATGTAATAAGCGCGTTTTTTCACGGAACATGCTCTGGATTTACAGAAACACACGGAAAACATAAAGTTCTTTTGTATTTGTACATTTCCGTAAAAGAAGATATCGATTCTGACCGACAAGACAAATTTTTGAATATTCAATAAACTAGTGGACTGGTTGGTTCCACTATAATTCAAAAGAGATGAATTAAATTTCAGCTTGACTATATATGATAAATAATACAATCATTATTTTACTCAAGTTTCATTTTCGCGTGGTCTTAGTATTATTATTACTTGTGAGATGCATTTTGTTTTATTTATAATAATACGTCATAAGATTTTTAACAGCAAGGTGCATTTGCATGCCAAGTAGGATTCTATTTTCGAATAATAATATTTTTCTTGCGAAACTTCAGTTCTTAATTAAGTAATGAATCATAGATGGTGTCTGTCTAAAGTTAAAATACAAATAATATAAATAGCAAGAAGGGACCTAAGACGCCCACAATTGATACGTTTTTAAATATCTCGTAAAAAAATTTACCAATTTTATATACGATAGTAATAGCATATGATCAAAAATCCTTTCATTGGTTGTTTAAACATCCAAAAAAAATCAAGTCACACGAAATTTGAATTCAAACAAAACATTATGTTCTGAAAAAACCAAGATTTATCAAGTAAAATGGGTACAGTTTCTAAACTAATAATGTTCTTTATAAAAATCTGCACGTACGGGGCAGTCTTGTCGTTGAGATTAACCTAACGAAAAGAATCATTCGTTAGTACAAATAAAGTTCAAGCTGAATTTTGCCCTTGAAACATGACCATCTGCCCTGGAAAGAAAAAGATTAATAGAACTAATTATCTTGTTAAATTTTAGGTATATACATTTATTTTGTGATGTCGCGTGACTTGTTTAAGCGGAACTTTCTCATTTTACAATACCTGATACTCGCTATATATAAATCGTCGGTCTTTTTGGACAATAATTTAAATTTGATCGACACATAAATGCTATATATGGCACGATCGAATTTCTAAATTTGGTTAAAACGCTACAATTCCTTTTTTTTTAAAAGGATGATTCTAATTTCATACTTTTCTCTTCTTTCTTACTGATTACTTCAATACTTCAATAATAATAATGAATAATGATTTGATTTCCTTGCTATTTTATTTCTTTGGATATATCACATAAAAATTAATGATATCACAACTTTATTTCCGCAAAAAATCAATAATAAATGAAAATCAATTCCCATTTTATTTTATTATTATTATTTATTATTATTTTTGTCAAATTTCATAAAAAATGACAAAAAGGAAAAAGAATATAAGAGTAGTAAAGGAAGGGTATAATAGAAATCCCTGTGAAGCTCATATGAAGAGCAAACGTAAATGTCCATCATCGTGTCCTGGTCGTGATAATATTATCGCTGACAACGAAGAACTGGGTAAGGTTTATTAATATAAATATATAAATATATTTTATCAAACGAATATTTTAATTAATTATTATCATTATTTTTTCAATAAAAGACGAAAATGCAAAAATTCATTTCTTAAAGGGCAAGAATATAGATTTTAATAATAGAGAAACTATTATCATTCCTACTGGAGATATTATCGGCGGATTTCCAACCTCCTCATCAAATAAAAAAAATACTATCAACGATTTTGAAGACTTGAAAAAAATAAACTCCAAGAACAATCTGTCGAATGAAAATTTTCTAGAGGATAGCTTTACTTATCGAATGATGAAAGAACCTTCCATTCCTTGGGTTGAAACACCATGGCACGAGTGTGAATTCGAATTTGATTATATATATAATATATATAATATATAGCAGTAATTATTAATAATTACTTTATTAAATCTCTTAATTTATAATTTTACATATATAGAATTAAAAAATGTATTTTTACAAAAAGGTTGGGCTGTGAGTGTGGAAGTACATATTAAAAGATTGTATACGATAGCAAATATTAGAATAAAAAAATACACTTATATTTATATCCACGTTTGGTATTAATTCTATTCCTAATGGTATATATACTACTACTGGTGGAGACAATGAATGATCGATCTCAGCTGCATCAAATAAGCATCGAATTTTCCTTTGTTAATTTGACATGATTCTTTTCTAGACAAAGATTAAAAATTCCATCCAGTAATCAAATAAAACTTTGAGTTTTTGTAAAGTAACGGAAATTCCTTTTTTTTATGATACATAAATACTTCCCTATTAAAATAGTTATATATTTTATTTTTCTTGGCCCTTAAACTAATTATTATAGCATCTGACATTCATTTCTTTTTTTCTTTGTGATAAACTGGTAACTGGACAATTTCTTCACTAAAATTATTCCAACTATACTTACAGAAACTTATGCATTAGTGTTAGTCGCCAAAACTAGTTTGGAAGGACAAAAGTCAAACCTAAAATTAAAAGTTATATGCTAAAACTAAATCAAAAGCCAAAAGCCAAAACCAGTTGCGAAACTTTATAGTTTTGGAAATATTATAATTCAAAGATTATTATTGTATCAACATCTTAGATTTCCTTCTCATCAATCACTTTTCTTCAAGTTGTTTTTTTGTCTTGATTTATTACATGACATGTGGGTACTTGAAGAATACTCATAGCTGTCTTCATGAACACATATCACCAACTTCGACCATAGATAACATGCTTATGTTGTTGGCAAGTGATGATTTACTTTACCTCGCTATAATTTATTGGCTCCTTCGATTTTCTTTTGTAAATATATAGATTTCCACGCTTTGGATTCAAAAATCCAAACGATATTCTTATATCTGAAAAAACCAGTTTATTAAAGCTATTTTGATCTTGGTAATCTTGTTTACACTACCAAAACGGAAGAAAAGAGAGAAAGAAAAATCAAAAAACAACCAATACAAACTTATATCTCTTGGGAGGGGAGAAGGTATGTAATGTGTCTCCCTTTGGTTTTAGTACAGATTTCACCCCCCAAAAAAATATTGTGCTTGTTGTGATCATTCCAAAAGACACTTGGATGATGAAAATAATAGTATCACCTAATTTCATGCTTTGTTATTCCTTGGATGCTGTCTTGAAGAATTTTACAGCGTCTTTTGGTTCCTTCTCTGCCAAGACTTCTTCCTGCATTGGCATTTCTATTATTTAATAATTTGGAGTATAGAAGATGGAACAATATACCTTCCTAAAATGTATCTTCCACATACACAATTTTAGTGATCTAATGCAACTTTGCTGTGTCATCAGCTATGATTGCGACAGAAATAATATCAACAAGTTCTTCTGAATTCATATATAATTGGTCACAACCATCGTAATCATTCTTTTGTTAAAATATGTAAGTTGACAAAATGAATTAATATACAGAAATTTCCTCAAAAGCTTATTGAACCTTCTTCGTTCGATTGTAGTTTCTGTAATGTCAGGGCCCGGAAACTATAAATAGATTACCGACACAGCTTGGTCAATTGTTATAGTAAAAGACCTATTACCAAATTTGAGAGTATTTCCCCTTCGGGATCCTGTAATGCCATCGCATCATCTTATACTTCATAAATTCAAAAGAACGTATTATTACCATTACTAAAACAAATACCATTTGAATAAAAAAATCTTATGTTCGGCAAGTATAAATGTCGAAATTTTTTTTTAAACAGTTCAGTTATAACGTTCTAAATAATTACTGCAATCATTGCAAACAACATTATATACAAAAATTGCCAATGTTTTCTTGAAAAGAGGAAAGAAAAATTCACAAAAGAAAATACAGAAAATACAAATTCGAGAGAGGATTATGAGCTAAACATTAATCATCAAGTAGAAAATGTATAAAAAATTCATGCAAAAGTGGCTCTCTATATAATATTATTGAGCTCCCTTTTTTGTATTTAAATCCTGTATGTACTATTAAAAATCATTTATAATAATAATTATAGTTATAGTAATAATGCAGTGTGAAAGAGAAAGAAGTAAATTTGGTCTGGGACAACTTATAACCTAAATGGCCTAAATGGCGTGTAACAGAAAATTAAATAATCAGCTAAATTAAGAAATTCATTTGGACAACCAAGGATTCTAGATTAAATTCTTGAAATTATTAATATGTATTAATATCTATCGTTAAAGGGAAATATTAATGACTCAGTATTAAATGTGACCTTTTCTTTTGCTTCAATTTCCAAATTAATAATAACAGCGAAAAACATATAATTTGAAAATAATGCACAAAGCATTTTAAGCAGTAGTAGTTTATCAGTTTACTTACATGTTTAGAAACTGGATTAAAATTTATCTCCTCGCTCGTCTTTGAATAAATTTCTCACCAATACACGTGATGAAAAACAAATACCAATAATTACTATTATTCTGCTTTGACTATATATATATATATATCTACTAGAAATCCTACTGCCAGAGCAGAATTGCGAAGGCCACAAATGACGAGATGTCAAGTGAATGGGAAGCCTGGCGGTTTGCTACTAATAATGATTTATATAATCCCAATTTCCCTGATTGATTGATAACAAATTTACTATGCATATAAAAAATATAATAAATAATTCTGATTATGATGTATGTCAACATCAAAAAAGCTAGATATCACTTCAACTCGAGCTCCCATTCTAACTTTTTATACTCTTCAAATTCTTTTTTTTTTTTTTTTTTTTTGCATATTCTAGTTCTTTTTTTTTGTAAAAAAATTTGACAAACCCGTAAACAAGTTTTTTACAAAAAAATTTTACTTGTTTGATTGATCGATTAGTTTCTATCACTATGCATAATTTTGACTAGTTAAGGAAACAAAGAATAAGAAAAGTTTTTTTAAATTCAACCAATAGATAAACAAGATAAACAGCACTTGTATTTAAGGGTGTTACCTGTTCCTTGGGCGCTCGGACTTTCACTATTGAATGCCTTTTGATGATCATTAATTATTTTCATTATCTCCATCTCCGTTTCCATTTGTTTGTCCTTTTCTTTATTAATCCATTCTATTGTTTTTCTTCGAGGATTTGTTCTTCGTTCTGATGGTGGAGGCAACAATTCCTTTTCCTTCTCCATATAATCCACGAATTACAATGGCCATTTTTGCTAAATGAAAGTCTGGATTTAGCCCAGCCTTTTTTTATCAAAAAATTGCTTGAAATCCATAGACTTTCTATTTATTGACTATTTTGCCAATTTTTTGATTTATGATAAACGTAAGAAGCTAAGGACAAGTCCGATCAACAAACCGCAAAAAAGTTCACTGTTGAAAGTAAGCATCTTTATATTGATAGAAAAAATATTGTAGTAATGTTTTGTAGTACCATTTTTTTTACCTAAAATAATGAATTAATTGATAATTTTATAATCTTCAAACACAAAATGAGATTATTTACCTTTGTTTTGACGCCAATAATAAAATAAAAACAAAGACTTCATAAAATATATCTTTAATCTAGTTTTTTATCATGGTCAATCACTACTACTAATTAATATATAGTAATAATAGAGGCTATTAAATCATGAACCCTGAAATCCTTTGTAGTACAAATGTTAACCTTCTGTTGTATCAACTCACCTGTTTCTTTAATTTCATTGACACTACAATTTGTAGCATTTCTAAAAACTGCTCTAGAAAAGCCATCTTAGGGATTAATTCTTGGTCTTGGACCTTTTTAAAGAAGTAACCTTGGTTGCTAATTATCAATAAAGTAATATTTACATGGAATGAATGACCTTATTATAAAAATCGCCTTTAGATATTTCATTGATATCTTCTAATATAGTTTTCAATTCTTTGAAACCATCTTTACCCCATACTGAAACATTTTTCCCCCAACATGATTCCAAATACCAATCTCTGATTTTAAATTATCACTCGATATAGAAACAAGCATTGATTAAATTTGATCCTGGATTTTCACAAATTAATTTAAGGATTTGTTATTCGCACCCCTACCATGACTAAGTGTAGTAATGTGACCAATGAATGGCTTTAAAATGTGATGATTTTATTGGTTCATCTTTGTCTTAGTCACGGGAGGGGTGCGAATAACAATTCTCTTAAAATACTAAGTAAACTGAACAATTGATGAAATCTTGTGAACGTTAATTAAATTTGGTGAAGCCAATTCATTTTTTCATTGATTAAGTAATTTTGCAAGTCATCAATTAATTTATTAAAGTTTAATTCATCACACACTTTAAAAAGTTTTCATTTAAACCCTGGTCATTATAATATTGATGACTCCATTGTCATATATACCTTTTTAAAAATATAAATAATATATAATTTATTTAGAGTATTTCTTTTTCAAATAAAATATTACCCATTACCAAAATTTTTTAAAATCCATTATATTAGGTAGAGCTACTCCAAAATACAAATACCTTCCTTGCTCTCAAGATGGTGGAAGGAACTTTATAAAATTTTAACATTGTCCTTCTTGGATTTCATAATTCAACAAATTTTGAAAAATCATTCATCAGCTTAATTTTATTATATTAAAATATTTTAACGCAAGAGCAATGTTAATATTAAAGTAGTTGTTGGATACAAATGTAATATTTTCCAGAGTTGTTATTGGATTATTGTTATCGTTGCACATTCATATATTAAAAAAAAAAATTTCTCCCATTTGCATCTTGACAAAAAAAAAAGATTATGGAAATTTCATCAATATTTATCCATCCAGTAAAATCATGCAGAGGCATTGAATTAAAAGAATCAAAGGTGAACAAGTATGGATTCAAGTATGATAGGTTTTGGATGATAGTTGATGAAAATAACAGGTTTATTACGCAACGCAATGAACCAAAGGTAAAAAATGAATATAACGGAACGATTCATTTATTAATAATTAACTAATTATATTTTCTTCTACAAGTAAAGCTCGCGCTATTGAAACCAATTATTAAAGAAAGCGAAGGATTGCTTGTAATTAAAAATGTAAAAAACAATAAAGAATTGGAATTAGAACTTAATCCAAAGTAAATAATACTATTATTAATTGTAATAATCATTAATTAAATTTGCAATAATAAATATTTCTCATTATTCGTTAACTAAATTAATTTCCAAGTCAAAAGAATTATTCAAAACTACAAGTTACAGTATGGGATGATAATGTTGCTGCATATGATTGCGGAGAAGAAGCAAATCTTTGGATTAATGGCTTTTTAGTTAGCGAAGGTGTTGATGGTATAAAAGCCAAAATTTGTTTTAAAGACCCTGATGAAATTAGAACTATTAGGAGAAATCTTCCGCCAAAAGATGAATTTGTAAAAATTTATCATAATCTTGAGGTAATCAATCATTTATCCTGATGCTTTTCTGACTTTATCAATGCGCAATTATGGTAATTCATTATATTAAAACACACGCACAAACAAATAAATAAATAAACAAATAAACAAATAAACAAACAAACAAACATAAATTATTTCCTAATAATGATTAATTGATTAATCCATTTAATTATTTTAATTATTTATTAACAGGTTTCTTTTTCAGATGCAACTCCGTTTCTGATCATTACACAAGAATCATTGTCAGATCTTAATAGTCGCTTGGTGAACCCTGTTGAAACAAGAAATTTCAGACCAAACATTGTTGTAAAAGGGAGTCAAAAGGCTTATGAAGAAGATACTTGGAAGAAGATATTGATTGGAGGGCATTTATTTTTTATTATTAGCAGATGTACCCGTTGTACGAGTGTGTATAATATATATTACTTGATTTATCTTGATTGTTTATAATGTTAATACCAAACAATATATATTACTTGATTTATCTTGATTGTTTATAATGTTAATATACCAAACAATATATATATATGTACTTATTTATTAATTCATTTATCTATTTATATATAATGATAGTTCCTAATGTAAATTTCGATACAGGGGAACGTAATGCTTTAGAACCGTTGAAAACTTTACAATCGTATAGAAGAGTCGATAAAGGTGCAAAATATCATGCTTGTTTTGGTAGGCAATTAATATAATAAATTAATAATATAAATGGGGAAAAGTTTTTTTTTAAAATATTCAATAATTTATAGGAATGAACGCAATTCATAGTGAAACAGGTAAAAAAATAGATTTAGCAAATATAATGTATAAATTAATAATATTAATTATCATTAATAATATTTTAAAATTTTTTGATTTTATTTTAAATATTTTTTTTTTTTCTAAAAATTAATTTATTATTATTCTTTCTAATTTAGATATAATCATCAAAGTTGGAGATTTGGTTGAAGTCGTCGAAACCGGAGAACACCAGCGAGAAAAACAATAGCGATTAAATAATTACATTATGATAATATAATAACAATAACGTTTATAAATCTATTATTATTACTATTATTATTATTTATTATTTATTATTTATTAATATTCTCTTTCTAATCTATCATTTTTATTAATTGGTGTTTTTTTTCAAACAATAAATTTAAACTTTCCTAAATAAAGAAAATAAAAATTAAAAATTAATTTAGAAAAAAAATTCACGATTAATCAATTATATTTCGGTATCACTAGTATATGATGTTAAACTAAATAATGATATCTTGATATTGTTTTTAATATTGTTGTGTAATTTATCTAAGCTATGATTACTGTTTGCTAGTGTTGATAAAGATGAAAACGAACCAGTCGAGACAGAACATCGATCATAATCATCATCACAGTCGTCGTCATCAAAATCGTGTTCATTATCATCGTTGTTGTAATCATCATTGTTATAGTAATAATCATTGTCGTTGTAGTTATTGGCATTGTCATTAGGTTCAGATGATGTAATAAATGAAGATTTCTTTGATATTTGTCTAAATGAATAGCAAGAATAAGCAGTATCTGATGAATTTGAAGATATTGGTAATGTCATATTATCACTATCATTGCCGTTATCTTCTTCCTCCTCGTTATAATAACCATCATCACTACTAGATCTCACAATATTAAGTTCCTCATCTCCTCCTTTATTATATTCTTCTTCCAGTTCTTCTTCTTCTTCATCTTCAAACTCTTGAATTGCTTTATTGATCTCATCATCATGATATTTATTATTGGTAACAGTAAAACTGGTACAATTTAGTATTCGATCACGAAGTTCACACAGTGAAATTCGGTTTTTTGGATCCAAAGCAAAAATGTCCAGTAAAATGCTGTTGAGCTCGTCGGTAATCGGGAATATTTTCTTGAGGAAATCTTTATTTTTAATAAAAGCAGCAAATGTTTCGTCGTGTATACTAGCTTGTTTCCATGGATTGCGACCACATGTCAAATTAATTAGAATGATTCCTAGTGACCAAACATCATTTGGTGCGGTTTCATAAATTTGTAATTTCTTATAAAATCCACCTTGACACTCTGGACTCATGTAAAATGTAGAACCACATCCGAAATCATTCGAACAAAGTTCGGTGGTAGCCAAACCAAAATCTGCCAACTTGATAGTTTTTCCTTGATCAAACACGAGTATATTTTCCGGTTTAAGATCTCTATGATAAATACCATGACGATGACTGAATAGCACGGCATCAAGTATTTGAATGAAAACTGACTTTATCAAATAATCATTTCCTATGTAACCGCCTTTCTCTGTTATTATCGAGAACAAATCGCCTTCATTACAATATTCAAGTATAATGTCAATCATTTCATCAGACTCGATCACTTTTTCCAATCTAATAATATTAGGATGTCCAGATAATTTTGCGTGCAAATTGATTTCGGTATATTGAAATTTTTGTTGTCTTGCATCAAGATTTGCTTTAATTATGCATTTGACTGCGTAAGATTTTCCGGTTGTAACATGTTTTGCAGCGTAAACAATTCCATAAGCACCTATGCCAAGAATATCCGTTATTTCTAATTGACCATCATCAATAAACTGATTGATACGTTCGCATGGGTTATAATGATCTTCTATCATGGTGATGAATTTGGTTGTGGATGGAAATTTAGTTTTTTAAAGAAATTAGAAAATGATATGGAGTTTTTGAGGTTGAGGTTTGTTTTAAATATTATTTGGTTTGTGAGTTTTAGGTTTGTTTGAATAAAAATAAATTAAAAGGAAGAGAGAGATTATTTTATAATGAATTTTTAATTATAGTCATAATTAGTTTGATTTTTTTATATTAGTTTTTTTTTTTTTTATAGAAATTTAATTATTAATAAGTATTAATATTATATATATTAATAATATAAATTGTTTTAATATATTATATGTACAATTATATTACAAAATTAATTTTCAAAAGGAAAATACTTTCGTTATTTTATTTTTAATTATTTTTTTGAAAAATAATAATAATAAAAATAAAAAACGAAATATTACGTTAAAATATTAATTTTTTTATTTGAAAAAATAAATTGAAAGGGAATAAATTTTTATTATTTATATATTAATGTTAAAATGTGGGGGGGATGAAATGGTACTTTTTTTTTATTTTTATTTTTCAAAAATAAAAAAAAAAAAAAACAAATTTCTTCTTATTTATTTATAATATTAGAATTATTATTTATATATATAGACAATATTTTTTTTATGTGAAAAAAAAACGATTAATGAAAAAAAAGTTGTGATTTTGTGGAAAAAAATCATTTATATTTAAAAAAAAATTTCCTTACAAAACAATCAAACAAATAATAAGTATTTATTTTATAAAATAGAGATAGTAAAATATATTTGGAACTATACATCATATAGAAAAGATAATTAATATATAAATAGCAATTATTTTGATTGCACCATATATTATTTATAAGTGATAAAGTTAAGGGAACAATAGAATCAGGTTTTGATTCTAAAATGATTTACAAGAGAAAAAAGAATTTTTTTAGTGTATTTTTTTTTGCGTATTTTTTTTGTGCGAGAGTAAAAATGTAATCTCAAACTTTTCTTAGCGCACAGTGACTTTTCTACAATGAATAAATATAAACAAACAAAGATTTCTCTTTTTTTAACTATATAAGGAGATTAAGCATAATAGTAGGGGGAGAGTTTTATATGAAAAGATGATGGTATTATTTTTTTTTGATGATGTTGTTGATAAAACATCAACATCTAAACAAACATCATCATAACTTCGTCATTTTAAAAACGCCACTTTAAATATCAAATTGAACCAATAAATTCTGTCAAATTTTTTTTATTCACTCAATAATTAATAATTCCTACCAAATAGTAATTATTAATTCCGACATAATTACATTCATATAATAATTTAGGCTTGTTAATTTATCGTTTGATACATGTGGTAATCTAGAATTTTCTTTGCTAACATAATTATAATCATGATTGGCAGCAATGAAAGTAATAAACCGGTGTAACCAATATAAATTTCTCTAACAATTTAATAGTTCACATGTATTAGAAAAATCAGTTGATTTAAAATCTCATACATAATAATAAAAGAAACTGTCTTTCTTTCGGAACCAATAATACAAATGAATTTTAGTATTGCTTAATTCAACAATTATATTCGTTAACAATGAATTAAATTATAATTGAATAAATGACAAATGGTAATTTTTTTTTCTAAGGAAAAAAATCTCCGTCACCCCACGAATTGTCATGCGGACGATCGGCACTTAATGAATGTTTTCTTCAACCCATACATATCCGTTCAATATTGTTTAACACCATTGTGCCAGGTCCCCGGATTATAATAATTGAGGTGGTTGATGAACGCCGCGACGATGCTGTCGATGAATTAGTCCGTTTATATCAGTGACGTCCCCAATCGTCCAATAAGATTTTGGGTATTACCTCATAATTCGGGTCCTGGTTGTAGCGCAGCCAGATTTTTATCATAACTTTCTAGCAAAAATTACAAGAATTTAAAAATTTCACTATTTTTGTAAAACTTTGAGTATATATAGTAAAATAAATTTCTATGTACTAATTTCATTGGTAAACACTTTCACGTGATATCTTCACTAAATTTTATTGTGTCACAATGATTTTCTTAAATACTCAAGTGCACCCCCTCTAAGTGCACGCTTTCATTCCCCATCTATATAAAACTCACTTTCTAAGTGCACTCCCGTGACTTTCACGTGATAGTTGTCCAATAAAAATCGTGCGACGTTATTAAATTAAAATACTTTTTCTTTAAAGAATTGATTTTTGATAAAGAATTAAATTTTATACTTAGTAAATAATAATAAAAAATATAAAGAATTAAATTTATTATTAGTAAAAGGTAAAGAATTAATATTTTGCAAGAGGCGGATAGAGAATTGTTCATTTTTATTAAGTGACAGGGAAATAAAAAATTCTTTCTTTTTAATAGATAAAAAACAAAAGTACAAGAATGCAGACAAAGAAGCTTAAATAGTTGAAATTATTATAAATAAGACATGAATCAAGAATTTTATTTAATAACTAAACACTTGTAACCAACTTTAAAAATAAACTTCTATTATAAATTAACCTTATCATTAATAAATTAAAAATAATATATACTCTTACATACCCAATCATCTAATTTTTGCACTCACACTCATCTCATTAAATATTTTATTCTTTTATTGCTTCTAAATAAAATGTCTCCAAAAAGAGGAACTTTATCTAATTCTCAAAAATATGAATTTTGTTTATTCCAGTCAACAAATAAAACGGTCAATTCTCTTGATAGATATATTAGTTTGAAAACAATAAATACAATGAGGCAAACTACAATAGAATCTTAATCAATAATTATATAAAAATTTTTTTTAGTGATAATAATGTTATAATTAATTAATAAATTTTTATTCTTTATTGGAGCCACGTGCAACCAATGAAATGTTTTGTTTCTCTAAGTGCACACCCCCTCTAAGTGCACGTTATCACTCATTCCCAAGGGGCTGCACTTATAGGGGGTTGACTGTACATGTGATAGTGGAAAAATCAGAATGGTTGCCGAATTTAAAATAGTAACAACCATTCTCGATTTTTTAGTCCCTGCATTCAATAACTGGTTTATTGTGTGTCTGACTATGAAACATTACAAATTCCAGATGGAAACTTTGGAATACCCAAACACGATAAGTAGAAAAGACCGATTATACAATGCGGATACACGCTGGCTTTTCTACCCATGCATGTCGTTCCCCACATTTCGCATAAAGTGCGATTACCCAAACACAATATTTTATTAGAATACACAAATAAAAATCCATTCTTGCAAAGTGGGTGAATATCAGAAATATCGAAAGTCATGTAGTTGGCGTGAAATTTTTTACATGCGAATTATAGTGTAAACCGGTGACGTTTTTCATTTCTCTACCATTATATTCGGGAATTAGACATTTTTCTTTGAATTATGTAATAATAAAGGCGCGGTGCGACCTTTTCCATTTTCCATTAATGAGAATTTATGGCAAGGCGGTCACTTTTTTTAAAAAAAAAGTATTTTCGAATCATAGTGTTGGCGGTCACATTCAATAGAGTTTTCACGGTCCTCCTCTCATATTACATCTAAAGAAAATCATTGTTATGTAATTCAAAGTATTGTAACACGAAGATTATTAATCATAACTCTAAAAAAAATCTATGAAAAGAAATTCGAGACAAAATCCAACATATGGATCACATAATATTTCAATTAATAAATGATTATTAGAACATTTTAACGAAAGGATCGACATTTAGTCAACTGATGAAATGTAATTTATCGCAAAGAACATATTGACGGAAAGGAAAAAGAGGGAAAAGTTGACGAAAAAAAGATAACCATTTTCACAAGTAATAATCTGCATTAAATTTTTAATATTTTACATTTTAAGAGAAAATTAATTGATGATCCGTCTATGAATCAGAGTGATGTCGATCTTTTTATTATCCCTTAAACGGTTTTTCGGCTATTACTAAAGAATTTTCTGAAGGGATTACTTCCTAATACGAGAATGATCTTTGAAATTCAGCTGATTGATCTGCGAATAAAATTCGTAAAATCTTCCTTAAAGTTGGTCAATTACTTTGTAGATCGTTAAATTGGCCAATAAGAATGCAAGATCGTGATCAAAAAATTATTTCGTGTTACCATTAAATACTTTGACCGTTTAAGAGATAATAAATACGGGGTATTAAATGATCTTTATTAAATGATATGATTTTTGCATTCAATTTACAAAAATTATTTATCTGAGGATTCATAGACGGATCGTCAATTAATTACTCCTTTGTCTAGTCAAATTTGGATGAGCTACGTAAATTACGTTTGCATTTTTTTCTAATTTTTTGAGAATTATCATCTTCTTATTCATTTGTATTATTTCCATTTCATTACTTGTAAGACTGTTATTAATGTCAATATCATAACATTCTTGTTCTAAATAATTATTTCTATAACTTCACAATAATCATGAAAATAACTATTTTCTGAATTATGTTCACTTTCAAATTCATCTTCAACAAAGATATCTTTTACTAAATTTCTTGGATCATCTTTAAATGAAGAATATTAAATTTAAAAGAAAAATTTTTGTTAAAAAAATATTTCGTCAGGTGGTATCATTAATTGCTACTACTATAATTACTAGTACTATGACTTAAAAAAAGAAAATAAAAAAGGTCAATTACTTTTGCAACTACTATCTATTTATTATTACTGGTATGTACAAGGACTATAAAGGACAAAGAAAAAAAAATTTTAATTGGATTGGATTAGAAATGTGAATATATTTATATTATTTTATTCGAATCGTTTTATTCAAATAAACTTTCAATATAATTCGAATATATACTCAAATTCATAATAATTAGAATAAACATCATTCAAATAGAAACCCTTACTATTATTATTTATCACGCATTTCGCACCCTGGTCTGCGCTGTACCCAAAATCGTGATTTTGAGTTAACGCCGCGCCACCCATACATGTAATTAATTCATCACAAGTATTAATTTCGGCCTAAAAACTATTACCCTACTTAAATTGATATTTTTCCATTAAAGTATTTTTTAAAAAATAATAAACAAGGCATAGCAATAGAAACATGGATAATTACAAAACATTCCGATTTGAGCTAACAAAATTTCTATGTGTAATTCATCAAAAGGATTAATTTCATTTTAGAACCATGTTCACTTAATAAAATTTTAAGGTTTAGCAACAACAACAACAACAATAATAGAAAAGCAGATCTTTTTTTCGATTTTCTCAAAATCGGATTTTGCAGTTATCTTCTTCCCCTTTCTATTATTATCCACGCCCATATAAGTCACATCGAAAGATGTTAGAAAGTCATTATTTATTTTGCATTTTTGGAATAAATTAAAAATTTTGGATTTTTTGTAAATTTAACTAAATACGCAGTAACGTTGGCTATTGTTTTTTTCTGTTCCCTTTCACCTTCTTTACCTTTACCTTTTCTTTTTCATCATCATCAATAGGTTTGTTGATAACTAATTTGCTGATTTCCGGCAAAGAATTGAAAATTGGTAAACTTGTGGATGAATTTGTTTTAATACTTAGAGATTGTATATTTCTCCATTTTCTAGGTATTTTTTCAATAATTTTTGGCACTGAAATTTCAATATTTTCAACAATTTGTCTAGACGTCATATCACTTTTACCAATCTTAATCGCACTTTAAATAATGACAACGACTATCAGAACTAATTAGAAAATAGAATATAACATTAAAAATATTTAGAACTTACAAATATGTTCCAGAACTAAAATGTAAATAAGTAGAATGACATGATTTAAGAATCTCTTTACAAAAAGTTGTCTCTTTACTTATTTTTACTGGGATTGGTTGTCTATTAAATATTAAAAATTAATTAATAAATTATTAAATTAAATTAATTAATTAATTAAAAAATTTTTTTTTTACTTTTTCTTCTCAAAAAAATATTTTCCCAATAATTTTGGAAGATATGAAAGAATCCGATCATCAGCTAAAAATAAATCATAAGAGTCACATAAACTACGCTTATCTTCAAAACTTGAATATTTCTTCTGGAATTTAGTAATACCAATAACCTAAATATAAATAATAATCCAGATCTCTCATTTATTATCATTATTAATTTTCTAAATAATATTAACTTGTAATAAAAGTCATGGTTTACTTTTTTAATATTTTTCATATCTTTTGATTTAACCCATTCTTTAAAAACCTTCTGTGGATCTTTTGTTATCAAACACAATTCTGTTGATGTATCATACAATGGGTGTTTTAATGGGCTGTATATGTAAATAATAATATTATTTTTTCTTATTTAATATTTTCAAAAAAAAACTCCCCGAAAATTAAATAATTACATTGCAATAGGCTTAATTCTCTTGTCCAAAATTCTATGAGTAGAAATCATTAGCCATATAAAATCTGGTTGATTTGCGAAAAGATCATGTTGTTCTGCATTTTTTTGTTGTTTAGAAATATAATTTAATAAAGAATCAACTGCTCTATCAGTCTAATTAAAATTATTATTAGTATTCTATTATTTATTGTTATTATGAAAGCAAATTATGCTTTATTTTACCAATTGAGAATCTAAGTTTTTTTCTTTCAACGTATTCATGATATAAACGGGAAAAAAATTTTTTTGAAAAAAAATCCCTAGTCCCACCAATCAAAAATGCAATAAAAATTTGTTTAGTCATGTGATAAATTCATAAATAGTAAAATCGGCAATAAAAAAAATAGAGCAAGCAATAGAAATGAAATGTATTTCTATGAAATATATTTTGGGAGATATCAAGTATATGTTTGCTCATTTTTTTGATCAATGCAATATTCTATTTTATTAAATTCGAAAAATAAACGAACTTGGTTGTTTATTGCGTTTTTTATATATATAAAGAATAATAATAAAATTCTCTTTTCATTCATCTGGGCAATTCACATGATAAAGGATCTGCAATATAAGGGGGAAAAGACTCAAATTTTTGATGTTAACTTTTTTGTGTGTAATGTGCCAACTTTAGGACTGAACATAAATTCAGTAAATTCGTGCAGCTTTGAGGCTCAAATCCTCCACAACAACAAAAATGAAATCGTAACTTTGTAGAGAAACCAATAAAAAGTTGCGAGACTAAGTGACCTGCACTAAATTTTAAAAATTTCAAGGAGTAACCATAATAATAATAATAATGGACATTGTGTTTATTCGCCAGTCGGTTTTAGTGTAACTGTTACAGCTGGTGAAACTATTAGTGTGATTGAAAATCCCTCTCATTGGAAATGAGAAAACTTCTGTTAAAAAAATGAGCGACAACAATATAGCAAATGATATAATTGTTGATTCTGGTAATAATGATGACAGTAAAAAAGAAGTGGAAAAGAAAGAAAAAGTGAAAGAAAAAGAAGAGAAGGAAGAAGTTAAGGTTAAAGATGAAGAAGACATTAAAAAAGAAACTATCACTATTCCTACTAATAATAATATCAATGATACTGATAACAAAGAACAAGTTTTGACACAAAGTAACTAATAATTATTCCTAACATTTAATATATTATATATTATATTGATTAACTATATTTTCAAAAAAAAATTTTTCTAATTATAAATTTATTTTTTAAAGCTTTGGAAGTAAATGATAAACATGATAAACAAAATTCACAGCCAACAATTATTAACAAAGTAAATGATGGTAAGGAAAGTCAACAAAATGAGCCTCCTAATCCAGCAACTTCACCTCTTCTTTCAACTTCTCCAAATTCCGGTGAACCAAAGAAATTTGATTTTATGAAAAAGGTTACCTCAAAATTAGATAAATTTATTAATTCAAATGCCAGTAATGGTATTAACAATAATGATAATGATAACGATAGTCATGTTATTAATGATGATTCTGTTTCCAAATCCCCCGAGTCACTTCCTATTCAATCATCCATCACAAATGTTCTTCCTCTTACATTAGATTCTAAATCTCAAAATTCTTCTATAACCACCACCAATACAACCAACAACAATATAACAGAAGAAATAATGATTGAAAATAATCAAGTTAATGAGGCTAAGGATGATGAAATGGTTGAATGCAGCCAAACAAAATCACCAGTCACGTCTACTAACAATGAAACAAATGCACAAAATCCAAGACAATTTTTCAACTTTGCTAGTAAATGGAGCAATGTTCGTGGATTTTTTAAACGTTCTAGCACAACTGTTGTAAATAAATCACGTGATGAATTAGATGAATCCGATAAACATGAAGAGGAACCAGGTACTATAGATGGTCAAAATGCTGATAAAAAAATTGATGAAATTTCTAAACGTGATCAATTATTGGAAGGATCAAACATTAATGATAATAAATCAACAAATCGTTCAGTTAAACAAACACAATCAACTCATCAAGCATTGGCCGAAACAGCAAATGCACTCAATGAACGTGCTGAAAAACTTGACCAACTTAATGATAAGATTGAAAATTTAGCAGGCAATAGTAATGATTTTTTAAGAATGGCAAAGGAATTAAGTGAGCAACAACAAGCAAAAAATAAAAAATGGTTTCCTTGGTAATTAATTTATTATTTAATATGTGTATATATATGTATATATATATAATATAAACATCATCAGTTGTAATAATAATTTATATCATTAAATCATTATTTATTTGTTAATTAATTAACAAACCTTAATTGATATTTTATGTAATTATATAATTTAAAATAAAAAGTTTACTTAATGCTTTTTTTTTTAAAATCCATCAATTGTAATATGTAAGGAATTACATAAGGTTAAATCCTTCATTGATTTCATTAGCCCTAGATCTCGATATTTGTTTATAAATCACCCAGTTTATCATTATTTTCTGTGAAAAAATCATATTCAAAGTATCTTTTTCAATTCTTCATTAAAATTCTCAACGAATCATTCATTGTATTTAATATTAAATTTTTTGATATTGTTTATTTTAAAGTTTTTAAAATTCTGTCACCATCATCTCCCCAATAAACTCAATGTACTTTAATACAATTATTAAATATTTCGATTAACGATTGATTGTTGTGCATTTTAAATTTCTGCAGTATTGTAACAATCCCCCAAATGATATAAGACTATTCAATCGTTGTCCAAAATTTATACATTTTGGTAATAAAATATTTTATATTGTATGTATGCTTTGTGAGAATTGAATTTTGAATTTTGTTGGCACCAGGGATGTTAAATGGTCATAAAGGGCTGATGAACAGTCTGGCTGGCCTTGAGCCAGTTCAGTCTTTTCATTAATACTAAGAAAACTGACTGCATTCTTTTGATCTTTTTATAATATAGGATTGCAGTCCAAAAGACTAGAATGGTCCGGACTGGTCCAAATCAGTCTTCTACTTCCTATATATAAAAAATTTTTACGGAAAAAAGAACAGTATTAGTATTAGTATGTTTTGCCAAACAGAAACGCGTGGGATCTTCCCGTGATAATAACAAAATTTTTTATTATTGAAAAAATACTTTTGTTCGGTATAACGAAAACCGTTATAACAAGGACCGCGTTAAAATAATAACGAGGTTCAAGTGTTAAACCCCCAAATCTTTCACAAAAAAATTTTCTCTAAAAAAAATATAATCAATAGTCAATAATGAAATCTTCTTTATTTACTTTAATAATTATTTTAATAATTTTTATTTCTTATAATAATAATTTATTTCTTGCGCAACAACAACAATCGTCGTGGCAGTCCAATGATAAAGAACATAAATTCATTGTGTTTCATAAATTTCCACAGCAAATATCATATACAAAACGAGGAGAAGTCATAGTCATTACCAATAAAGCAGTTTCACAATATATTGGTGTTAATGATAATGTCTTATTTGATGATGTTGAATACTCATCACCTTTCTATTTAATAAAATTAGTTGATGAGAATGATCAAAATAATGTTTTGAAATCTTTTACAAAAATGGTATTTCACTAATGATTATTATAATATTAATTATAATTTATATTAATTGATGAAATTTCTCTTTCTCTTTTTTTTCTCTTTAGTGTTTATTAAAATCTTCGAATTTTGAAGATGAAATTATTATACACTTGGACAAACATAATAAACCATTTCATTTTGATTATTACACTTTAAAAGATCAATGTAATGATACAATAAAAGTTCAATCTGACAAGATTAATAATGAATTTAAGACTTCAATTCAAACAGTTAGATCAATTAATGGTGTGAGGTAAATTATTAAGTAATAATTATAATTATAATAGAATTATAAAGTAATAATATTTATTTATATTATATAGTCCTAGATTACACAAAGCTTTGCCTGTAAAAGAAGATGGAACAGTTGAGAAACCTCCTGAAGAAAAATCATTTCTACAAAAATATTGGTAAAAAAAAACTTCAATTAAATACAATGAAAAAACACATCTCGTGCCCATGAAATACACACTCATTAATATGCAATTCTACTATTATTTTTCCTAGGTGGTATTTGATACCTCTTGCTTTATTATTAATGACAAGTACTCCACCACCAGCAGAAGAAGGTCAACAGCAGCAGCAGCAGCAGCAGCAGCAGCAACAACAACGTGGGCAGAATCCGCGACCTGCACGTTAATTGGTTTCTGGGTTATATATTGTTATATGTGTGAAAGAAAATTTCATGAGGCTTGTAATAAAAGAACTTATTATTAAAGATATTTTATTAAATGAATTGACATGCAACTTGTGAAAAAATATATCAAATTATCTAAAAAAGTGAGAGTAAGTTTTATTTTAAGAAAGATATTTATTAAAGATGGTTATATATACAGTGTATTCATCAATTACTTTGTTGAATATAAAGAATTAATATAAAATTCTATCTCTCCATTTTTATCAATTCACAATGATTTTTCATAGAACTAACTAAATTTTGTGCTGTTTCTTGAGGAATGTTCTCCCATTTCCCAACTGTAAATTGCTAGTATCTTTAGGCATCCTTATTTCTACATTCTTTTTCACGATCTGCCACATGTTCTTGATGGATCAGACTAGGATGACCAGTTTATAAAGCAACTGGCAAAAGCTGGTTTGGTGTAATATTCACATAGCAAAACAAGGAGGTTTTGCCATTCAATGAAATTCACCCCAAGTCATTACCTTTTATCATGATTTTGACAATATTCTAATTGGTCTTTCTCCATTTTTATATTTTATTATGAAAAATATCAAAGGTGATTTCATCTGCAAAAATGGTAGAACTCCAGTTATCATTCAAATGAGCTTGTACCCCATGTTTTGAAGCAACAATATGATTGCTGGTTAGCATTGGGGAGGCAAGTGGTATAGAGCTATGTCCCTTGTTTTCATGTGTCACCAAATATTTGATGTGAAATAAATAGATATATTATGTGTCCTTGAACTTTAGCTGCAAGTTGTACAGAATTACAACAAACCAATTGCCTGATTGAAGATGATTAATGTAGAACTTGAATCACAACATCAAGCAGTTCCAGGTGATGTTTTTAATAATAAGTATAATGTTAATTTATGAATTAGAAGATTGATATAGATTTTAGTTATTAAAATTCTTAATTTTATCTGTATTCTTCCTCTCCTATTCTGTTATTCTGTCATTCTGTTATTGTGTTGTTCTAATAATTCTTTACATCTATTAAAAAAGAAAGAATTGATCATTTGTTATTTGTATGTTACTTGAATTCTTATTTTACTATATTATGTATGTAGATGGTCATGTGAAAGTCATGGAGTGCACTTATAGAGGATGGTTTTATATGGAAAAGATCATGCAATGCAGAACATAGAGGGGATGCATTTATCTCTAAGCCCCAAGCTTAGGACTGGGTTACAGAATGCACTTATGGAGGGCTGACTGTATATATATTTTTGAGTAAAATTAAAATGTCAATAACAGTAAGTAATATTTGTTTGTATTGAATTTTGATTACTATATGGTTCTATTTTCTTTTCGATGCTTTTAATGCATTATAAAATTATTTTGTTCAAGAAAATTAAAAGTAGTTTCAAAAGCTTTTACAGCTTCATTTATTGAAACGTTGGCAATAGTTGTACTACTTACAATAACATCTTCCTCTTCAATTTGCTCAAAAGAACTAAGAATTCCTCTTTGGTTGGAATTTCATCATCATCAATTGATATATATTCCTCTGCTGTTTATGCTGAACTGAATTTTAATCTATTATCAACATCATCTCTTTGATCATTTATAATAATTTTTATTAATGTTGTCACATCTCCAATTTACTCTTCATAATCTAAACAAAGGATTATTCATGCAAATTCATTATTGAAAATTTATTTATATTATTATTTAATATGGGAAAATTATAACCTTGTATATCATGTGAATCCATTGTATAGTTGGCTTGGTCTAAAGACCTCCTAAGTTTTGCATAAATTTTAAAAGTATAGAAGTCACTTTCTGTCCTATCTTTTAAAAAAATA